TGTTTTCTAGGTTTCAGGGTACCTGTCCTTCACATCTTTTGTCAAGGTTATCCTTCAGTATTTCCTCTTTTTTTTTTTTTTTTTGGAAAGATTTTATTTTCAAGTAAATGCTACACCCAAGGTGGGGTTCAGACTCACAACCCAGAGATCAAGAGTTGCTCCATCCATTGACTGAACCAGCCAGGCACACCTAGTTTTGCTGTTACTATATCCAGTATTGTTTTTAAATTTCAATTCCTTATTTTCAGAGGGGGGAGGGGCATAGGGAGAGGAAGAGAGATAATCTTTTTTTTTTTTTCTTTTTAAAGATTTTATTTATTTAGTTGGCAGAGAGAGACACAGTGAGAAAGGGAACACAAGCAGGGGGAGTGGGAGAGGGAAAAGCAGGCCTCCCACCGAGCAGGGAGCCTGATGTGGGACTTGATCCCAGGACCCTGGGATCTTGACCCAAGCCAAAGGCAGACACCTAACGACTGAGCCACTCAGGCACCTGAAGAGAGAGAATTTTTTTTTTAAAGATTTTATTTATTTATTTGACAGACAGAGATCACAAGTAGGCAGAGAGGAAGGCAGAGAGAGAGGGGGAAGCAGGCTCCCCGCTGAGCAGAGAGCCCGACGTGGGGCTTGATCCCAGGACCCTGAGATCATGACCTGAGCCGAAGGCAGAGGCTTAACTCACTGAGCTACCCAGGTGCCCCGAGAGAGAATCTTAAGCAGGCTCCACACCCAGGGCAGAGCCCAACATGAGGCTGGATCTCACAACCCTGAGATCACCACCTGAGCGGAAATCAAGAGTCTGACTCAGCTACTGAGACACCCAGGCGCTCAGCCACTGATTCTTAGAGGCAGAAAGCAGATTTGTACTTACTTAGACAAAGGGTTTCAGGAGGAGGTAAGGATGAATTACGAAGGGACTTGAGGAATACTTTGGGGGAGATACCTATGTTCACTATCTTGATAGTAGTAGTTTCATGTATCAAAACTCATGAAATTGTATACTTCAAATATATGCAGTTTAATGTATATTAATTATATCTTATTAAAGCTATTAAAACATGTGTCCTTGAGCTCCAGGAGCCGGTAGGAATAATGTGACCAGCTAATCTATCCTCAGGCCAGATACTAAACCAGATCCAAACTAGGTGTGGGGAGGGACCAATTTTACCTGTTATAGAGAGTCAGGTAATAAGACACTTACCCCCACTATGAGTTTCCCAGAGATTAGGCTTCCACGTCCAGAAACCAGGAAGATATGGATAGTCTCCAAGATCCCCAGTGGATGCCAGAAACCACCAGTAGCTTTGAACCCTATAAATACTATTCTCCCTCTCCATACTTATGACAAAGTTTGGTTGATAAATTGGGCACCGTAAGAGATTAACAAAAGTGGAACTACCATTAGAATTTTTTTTCCTTCTTCAGTTTCATGGATACAAGATGTAAGCGAGAACTTACCACTGACCTTAGCAATTTCAGCAAACAATTTTTTTTTCTCATTAAGTAGAGAGCTTTCACCTTTTTTTTTTTTTAAGATTTTATTTATTTGTCAGAGAGAAGGAGAGAGAGAGAGCACACAAGCAGGCAGAGAGGCAGGCAGAGGTGGAGAGAGAAGCAGGGTCCCCGCTGAGCAAGGAGCCTGATGCAGGACTCGATTCCAGGACCCTGGGATCATAACCTGAGCCAAAGGCAGCGGCTTAACCCACGGAGCCACCCAGGCGTCCTGAGAGCTTTCATCTTTACAACTAGTTTTCGGCATATCTGAATGGCCAGCATCACCGTTCTTGTGCTCTGGGGCCATTATTAAGTAAAATGAGGGTTCCTTGAACACCGGCACTGTGACACAGTGACTTAACAGGCGGGTAGCGTATATACGGTGTGGATCCGCTGGACAAAGGGATGAATCACATCCTGGGCAAGACCGAGCAGCGGGACACGCGAGGTTCCATCAAGCTACTCAGAATGGTGCGCAATTTAAATCGTATGGGTTGTTTATTTCTGGAATTTTCCATGTAACATTTCAGATTGTGGGAACTGAAACCACAGAAAGTGAAACTGCGGATAAGGGGGAGATGACGTACATGTGGTTCCTATATTGTTGGGAGAGACCTTGAGTTGAAGGAAGCTAGCAGAGTCCTGTAGATTATAGCCTGGGGCAGTGCTTCCCTCAACCCCTGGCAAAGGGTTTTCCGGTGGTGGCAGCAAGTGGGAAATCCTTTTTTTTTTTTTTTTTTTTTTTTAAAGATTTTATTTATTTATTTGACAGACAGAAATCACAAGTAGGCAGAGAGGCAGGCAGAGAGAGAGAGGAGGAAGCAGGCTCCCTGCCGAGCAGAGAGCCCGATGCGGGGCTCGATCCCAGGACTCTGGGATCATGACCTGAGCCGAAGGCAGAGGCTTTAACCCACTGAGCCACCCAGGCGCCCCGGGAAATCCTTATTTTTAACTCACTCAAAGTTTCAGAAAAGAAGGTTAACCCGACTGCTTGTTTCTCCACGGGGTGCCTCCAAACCACAAATTCCTCATTCCTACTCTGGTTTATCCTAATAAGAAGTAGGCTGATCCCTTAATCCCTGTTTAAAGGGCCCTTGTTTATTGAAGCCGTAAACTCTGGGCAAAGGGTCATAAATCACTCTAGCTCCATCCAGAGTGAGAGATGGGTGCAGGCTAAGAATGGGCACACAGAGGTAAGGACAATGTGGATAATGTCCATGTTGTCTGTTTTCACTGTAGACATACTCCTGTGAGTGCCCATGTTGGGCTGAACCCAGCCTCTACTCTTCTCAGTTCTGCTTTGTCCCTGGAAGGAGAGGTGGAGGCAGTGCCGTTGTATCATCCTTGTCCCCTAACCCCATTCTTCCCGTTAGGCTTGGTCAATGGAAGGCACCAGTAGGAAATCTGAGGACAGGAGAGCTAGAGACTTGTGTCCCCCCAGTGACTGGTTTTCTACTTATGGCCATAGCTCTGGTCAGATGCCTCCTTTCCCAAGACTAGAGCACCCAATTCATTGGGGCACAGCTCCCTCCCCTTGTCCCTTCAGGTCTAGGGCTGATAAACAGCTCCCCCCTTAGAAGCCCCTTCTAATTGTTGGGTTCTTCACCATCCCTGGGGGGTCCCCTGCTTCTAGGGCACACTGGGGTATGCATGCTTTCCTTCTTCAATTCAGTTAGCCCTTCCAGTGGGCAACCCCCCCCAGCCACTCTGACCCACACACTTCATAGTCCCCAAACACGCCCTCATCGACTATCCCTATCTCCCCAAAGCCCTCAGTTTGCTGATACACCCACCTTGGCCTTGACTTTCCTTCAGTTTCTCTGTCCTTCAGTTTCCTTCAGTTTCTTCTTCCTGCCTGGGCTCAGCCATCCTTTGTCTAAGTCTATGCGGACATTGGTCTGTCCAAAATGGAAGTCATCTCCTTTTCTAGAAGTCATCTTCTCTACTGTGCTTCCCTCCTCGTTTATTGTCATCACCATCCTCCCTGACGCAAAGCCTTGAAAATTAGGTGACAGCTCACCTCTGGAGAACCAGAGAAACCCAAAGGGAGTCACTCACAAAGTCTCCCATATAAACACACTTTAAGAAAAGGTGAAACCAGCGAGCTAGCTACACAAATGTAGCCTCAAGGCAATCTCCCCTCCATCACACCGCTGCCCTTAAAACCTTCCTCTATAGCATTTCTGATCCCACCAGTTCCTCCTCCCTCCCGTCATTCCCTACCTACATCCACGCATATTCCCAAACTTCCCGGAGAACAAGAACTTTCTCCTCATTCTTTCGTAGGCCTTCAGTGTCTCTCACCTACCAGAGGAGTCTCCCGGTGGGTTCCCTTCCTTCCTTCTCGCCCCCATAACCTGGTCCACACAATGCCAGCCCCCAAAAGCACAGGTCTGAGCAAAAGCCTTCAGTGGTTCGCTAGTGCCTGCAAAGGCCCACCCCCTCGTTCGCGTCTCCATTGAAATTGTGAATTTTTATCAAAAGCTCTTAGTTTAAAAAAAAAAAAAAAGCATGCCTTCCTTGATTTCAGAGTTTTAAAGCATTTAACTTCAAAACCCCAACACTGGCATTTAACGGGAAACTTCTAACTTTCTCCAGCGTTTCCGCTAAGGATCACACTTCCCTCTGCCTGTCGGTACCTCGGCGGACATCGGAGCAGGACGGGACCGGCGGCTCAGGCTCGCGGATAAACAGAAACAGAAACAGAAACGGGTTTCTACCAGTGAATACATCCTGGCCGGTTCCAGACCCGGAGAGGTTTGGATAGAAGGTGCTGGAAGGCTCCCACTGACCCAGCCGGGCACCCCCGGGTAGGCGATCATCGCAAAGGGGATGGGCAGGGCAGCAGCGCAGCAGGGTCAGGGCACGGGCAGAAGCAGAGGGAGCTGGGTGCGGGACGCTGACCCTTCCGGCGGGAGCCGGGCCTGGGGGCAGCGCTTCCCGGGGCTGCGGCCGCCGAACCGGTCCATCCTGCGCTCCCCAGTCCCGGCCCGAGCCTCGTAAACAGGCTCTTCCCAGGCGGCCTGGATTCCCCGCGGGAGGCACGGGACTCCCGCCCACGTGACCCCCGCCCACCGCGCGAGGATCTGGCAGCGGCCGCCGCGGAGAAGCGCGCCGCTCGCAGGGAAGAGGCGGAGAGGGCTGCGCGCCGGGCGTCGGGGGAGGGGCGGGCGAGGGCAGGTCAGGGCAGCCCCGGGCCCGCCCTTCGCCCCGCCCCCGCAGGAGGCGGTTGGATCCGATGACTGACAGGCGTCCGGGCTAGTCACGGCGCGCCTCGCGGGCCGGCTCGCCCAGGTGGGCGGGGCGCGCCGAGGGGCTCTGGAGGGGGGCGGGGGCGGGCGGGGAAGCCTCTGGGTGGGGCGGGGCCTCGGGAGAGTAGCAGCGCCCCCAGCCAATAGGAGGCGGAAGCCGTCCCGTTAGCGCCGGATCCCAGCGGGTAGGGCGGGGCGGGCGGCGCTGAGGGGATCCCGGGGCGGCTGAGGACGCCTGAGTCGGCTCCGCGCGGCGACATGGACCGGATGGCCAGCTCCATGAAGCAGGTGCCCAACCCCCTGCCCAAGGTGCTGAGCCGGCGCGGAGTGGGCGCGGGGATAGAGGCGGCCGAGCGGGAGAGCTTTGAGCGGACTCAGGTGAGGACCGGGGGACCCCGGGGCATGCGTGGCTGGGGCATCCTGAGAGACGCAGTGTCCGGGAGGGGCTTTGAAGGGGGTAGAGGTCTTCAGGCCCAGGGGAGGACGGGGCAAGGGGGCCGCGAAAGGGAGCCTCTGGTGCGCAGGTCGAGGCGCTCCTGGGGAGGTCGGGGACCCGGGGTTATCCCAGCTGGCCTGGGGAGACGGGCAGGGCGGCTCGGAGGAGCTGGCACGATCTGTGCGGCGGGGCAGGGCAGGGGTCACAGGGGCGGTGAGAGCGGAAGGGACGGAAGAGGGGCCGAATGGAAGAAGAGCCCCTCGGCAGGGGAAGCTCATTGGGGGGCCCCTCGGAGACGCAAGTGTGGCGGCGGAGAGCGGAGCGCTGGACTGGGATGCGACGCGGGGACCCCTTTCCTGCCCTCTCGATCGTTTCTGTGTTGCACTGATATTCCCCCCACCCTAGCACCCCCTTCCTGGTGCCTCCTGCTTGGCTCACACCACCCCCAGCTGTCGGCCTCAGAGGGCCGGGCTGGAGGGGTCTGGGCGGCGAGAAGGAATGTAGGAAATGCGACGTGTGGCCGAGCTTGGAAAATGGGGGCTGCAGGAGGGGGCCAGCCAGTGGCCAGGGTCAGGCCATTGGCCCGACAGCCTGCTGCTGGTCGGGATGAGCTGCCCAGTGGTGCCCAGAGCCCTGATAATGGGGTGTTGATTTCATCCCCCAAGATGTGCCTGACAGCGAGCAGGCAGACTGCCCTATTTGTCCAGCCTGACCAGGGCTGGGGGCCAAAATTCCCCAGTGGCATCAACAAAAAGCCACAATCCATTTTTACCTTGGAGTTCGAATGCCTGGTGTATTGATTGGACTGAATAAAGCTGACATGTTTCTGGTGTTCATCAGCTCGTTTGTATGCAAAATCCCATTTCAAAGGGCACAGCACTTCTTCTAATCCCAGTGCCAAAGTTGTGCGGGCAGATTTGTTCCTCGCCCTTGCGCTCAGGGTGGAACCTTTGAAGATCCAGCTGGGCCTCCACTGCCAGAGGCTGGTCCCCCTTGCTGTGTTCTGCTTCCCCCCTCCCCATCCCCAAACACAGTACAGTGTTAAGGAAGGGCTTTGGGGGTTTAGGTTGAAAAGCTTGCGAGGACCTGACAGAGAGTTCTGTGTATGGAATCTTGTAAAGGATCAAGCTTTCCCCTGCAGGTTCAGCCTCTTCTCTTTCCAGAATGCTTTTGGCCGGTTGCAGGTGTGTCTGGGTGATGGAAAGGAGGGAGTGTCCCCTCCCTGGGTCATCCTACCCCAGAGAGGGATGGGAGCATTAGGAAAGACAGCAGTTCCCTTCTCGGCCTCCCAGGGACCGGCTGGGGTTGAGACTTCTTTTCTCTGGCTTTGTGGACTGGACCCCTGCAAAGAAAGCAGCTTTCCGATGGCTTGTCCACTTTGGGTATTAACTGCCTCAACTCACTGCCTGGTCCTGAGGCTTCTTGCCCCAGCAGGCGGTGTGAATAGCCTTCTTCTTCCTCTTTTTTTTAATGGGAAAGGAAAAGGAATAGATGTTATTTTGTGATAACCCAGTCCCCTTCTGGAGTCTCAAAGAACTAAAACCCTGAGCGCTAGAGGAATACGCGTAAAACTTTGACCCATTATACCAATGGTAATTAGGTTTGTGAAACCTTCCCCCCAGGGCTGGCGTGTCCCCTTGCTATCCGGGGACAGCCCAGCGAGGAGACTCTGGTGTATTTTACACGTGGAACACTTGCAATTGACTGCCTCTGAGTGGCTCGTTGACGGGTGGGTTGGGGTGGGGTGGGAGTGAGGAGGAGGCAGGCTTGAGCAGGAAAAGAGAGTTTTTCTATTATTCAGACCGTAAGGGGAGGGGGTAGGAGAGTGAAGAAAAAAGAACAATGCTAAAACTTGGCATTAGTCAGTCTGCAAAAGCTCGTTTTGTTTGAGGACTTTGAATGAATCCAGTGTATTATGAGATAAAATGAGTTAGAAAAAAATTTTAATGAGTTGAGAGACCATGAGATCAGCCAAGGTGTAGTGATAATTGTAGCTAATTATCCCGTTTGGCACTGCTCTAAGTACTTTATTGTATTACCTTCTTTAACCTCTGCAAGGACCCGTGAGGTGGGTATCAGCCCCATTTTCCGGGAGGACATTGAAGCACAGAGAGGTTAAGTCACCTGCCCAAGGTCACACAGCGGGAAGTGGTCCCAGCCTTTAACCACTGGCTTGTGTTGCGAGCGTGAAGGCGTTTTTTGTAAACTTCAGAGCACGCTTTTAGTGATTCTTGCTGTAATCCGGGGAGACCTAAGGAAGCATGCATGTGAGTAATGGTGCAGGCTCTGATGAATTCTTCAGTAGGGGACAGAAATATTCCTAGGTAAGGTGATAATGACCAAGACCGTATGCAGAAAGACCCGGCTGTGGGTGTGGGGAGAGCTTGGGAGCCCTCACCAGGATCTAACCACCAGCTGGCATGAGACAGCGCTTGCAGAGTGGGAGAGAAGGGGAGGGGGTGTTCTAGAAATGGGGATCCACAAAGGAGACATCTGGAGGTGAATGCCGGTGAGGCTCAGTGGCCCAGGTGGAGGCAGCAGCAGAAGCTGGTCGCTCCCACCTCTCAGCCCCCAGCACCTGCTACCTTGTACAGTCACTGGTCCTCTGAGTTGCCCTCAGTAAACTAGGAGCTTCATGGGGGCAAGATTACTCTTACTGTCTCACCTGTGTCTTCGGGTTCCTGAGGCTTGTGATCGTGGGGATCCAGCTGTGGATGGGAGTAGACAATAATTTGTTACTTTCCGCAGGAAGCCCTCGCCTGGGTGGGTAACTCAGCTCAGGGCAGCTGGGGATTTCTGTAATTACCTTATGCTTTTTCCTAATGGCCCCAAGTTCCCTCCTAGTCCAGCTTTGTCTCCTGCTTTCTCAGGAGCCCTGCCCCATGCCTATCAGAGGACTGTAATTTCTCTGCCTTCCTTCTGGTCAGGCCAGTGTCCCTGTTGGAGCGAGGACCCCAGACTCACCTGCTGCAGCCCTCGTCTCTAGGTGTCCCTCATCCAGCCCATCACAAGCAACCTTTAGGCTCTAGGGGAATGAAAGATGGTTCTTGCCCTCAAAGGAGCTGCTGTGAGAAAGCTGCCTTGCCCGAGCACTTTATACAGCATGGTTTAACTAACTATGTTGGGGCTACACTGTGGTTGGGCATTACCATGCCCATGTTATGGATGAGAGCTTAGTGACTTGCCCAGGGCCACCCATAGATGATTGAAAAGCAGGATTCAGATCCAGGAGTCCAGGTTTCAGGCCCTTTCCCCCACCCTGTGCTCATGTTGGCCAGCAGGGCAGTTCTGGAATGAACCAGGAGGGCTGACGTTCGTAGACACACCAAATACCCTGTCTATATTTATTTAGCCGGAAAATGGTTTTCTCTATGGTTTGTTTATTTTTTTGCTACCATCCATTTAGTGAGCACATAGCGTGGAGGGGACACAGAGATGAGTAAGATAAAGAGACCAGCCAGGTGGAGCTCGTGAGTCAGTGGGGAGGGAGACCAGCCACAACCGGGCTCTTGTACACAGAGGTCAGAGGACTTACAGCACCGTCATTTCGGGAGCTGTTAGCAGTGCAGGACCTACCGAATGAGAGCTTTCATTTCAGCCAGAGCCCTGGGTAGCCCTGTGCACGTTGAAGTTTGCTCTCTGGCCGGTGATTGCTGAGATCAGAGGAGAGGATGGTGCTCTGGAAACACGGAGCCTTTAGTCCCAATCTGTTTGAGTCGATCCCACTACAGAGAGCAGGATCCTAACCAACCCTGAGTTGGGAAGAGCCAGGAAACTTGGACTCTTGAGAAGAAAAGATAGAAACAAATACGTATGGAGGGCCTGGTAGGCACTAGACACATCCTGGGTGATTGATAGCCATGATCCTGTTTACTAGCTCAAGTTCAGAGAGGCCAGGTGACTTGCCCAAGGTCACACAGCAAGTAAACAGAGAAGCCATCTGAAAATCTGATGACCAAGCCCACATCCTCTTTTCCATGTTTAAGTCAGGGGGTGTTTCTACCATTTCGCTCAGAATCTTCAGTTCAGCCTTTGATTCACCTGCTGAAAAAATCATGGGGTTGGACCAGAGCGATCAATGCTTCTCAACCCTGGCTACTCGGGAATGGCTGCTAACACGAACGGCACCGTCCTCCCACCTGATCCCTGCTGGCTCCCTTAGTTGGTGTTGAAAAGGTAGAAAGGATGCTAAGAGCTTTCTTTGAGCTTGTACACCTCCGGCTTCCTCTCATTGGTAGTGGTGGGAACAGCTGACATTCACCACGTTTACTATGTTGCACGTGCTAAAGGCCTTTAATGAACCCCACCTCTCAGTTCTTGGAACGAATTTATGACGTATGATCCATGTTTTACAGATGGGGAAATCAAACCTTAGACGTGTTCACAGCCAGCTCAGAGTTCTGAAGGAGGTGTCCGAGCTGGGACCCAAACTCGGGAACACCGGCCCCAGAGCCTGGCTGTGCCTGGTCGCCACCCCTGCGTCACCGCCCGGCCTCCTCAGCTCTCTTCTTCTTTCCTCTAGCCAACAGTTGGGTCCCCAAGGTGCTAACCTCACCCCACTTCTCTTTTACTTTCTGTCCACTTCCTCTGTGCTCCCCTCGTCTGACAGTTTCTGTTCCTATGTCCGTGACGCCACCTCCCCACGTCTGTCTCCCGATTTCCTGGCCTGTGTGACCACTTCCCATGGGTCCTTTGCCCCCAGATAAGCCACACATGCCCCAGACTCTCCTTCGGGCCTTCCCCACCTTCGAATGCCAGTGTCTGGTCCCCGTCAGTCCCCATCGTCTCCTCGGCGTCCTTTCCGAGTCCTCCCTTTCCTCTGTCCTCGCAGCCGCATCAGGCGGTGTGACGTCGCTCCTGTGCTCTGTACCGTTCCTGCCCTTACTACCTCTTGCCTGTGTTGGTCGTAATCCCATCCTCCCTGCCTCCCAAATAGCGGGGG